TTGCGCTTCTCGACGAAGGACAACTGTTCCTCGATCTACTTTCGTGTAAGTAATGCGCAAGATCATTGTTCATGGATCTTGAAAATATGATTAACTGTGGTGGGAAAGCAAACTGTCATGATGGTTCACAATCTCCCTCCACTTTCGCGCCTCTGCTGAGGGCAGCTTCCGCTCGCACTCAACTCACAAGTAGTGGTTATCAGGTACCCCGGAAGCTTCCGCTCGCACTCAACTCCCAAGTAGTGGTTATCAGGTACCCCGACTTTTCAGCCCATAGGTTAAGCACTTACGCACTCGACACCAGTGCACCAGTGTGAGGATACCAATTTGTGTCCGATGATCTCTGCAGTCCCTCCGCCAGCCAATTTCCGTGGGACAACTGTTCCGCGATCTACTTTCGTGTAAGTAATGCCCAAGGTCATTGTTCATGGATTTTGAAAATATAATTAACTGTGGCGGGAAAGCAAACTGCCATGGTTTGCAATCTCCCTCCAGTTTCGCGCCTCTGCTGAGGGCAGCTTCCGCTCGCACTCAACTCACAAGTAGTGGTTATCAGGTACCCCGACTTTTCAGCCCATAGGTTAGGCACTCATCACCAGTGCACGAGTGTGAGGATACAATACCAATTTGTGTCCGATGATCTCTGGAGTCCTTTGTCTCCGCCAACCAATCTCCGTGAAACCTGCCTCGAATCAATGTCGAGTCTTTTGTCGCTTGTCGGGTCTTCCCTCCAGTATCACGATTGTTCTCTTGAGCTGGCCCTCTTATTTATCGTCTTCATGAAAGGCCTTTTTCAAGCCGTCTATTGGACTCGACGAGAACTCTGTTCTTATTGTTTCGTCGGTGATTTCACGTGTTTGGGATCCTGGGAATTCCGTGCTGCGGATCGAGTTGGCGAGAGACGGTACTAATCAGAATTGATTGCATTCAATTCTATTTTCGGTTCTCTGAGCTTCCGCTGTGTATACTCCTGTCATCTGGTTTGGTGTGGATTGCTCTCTCCAATCGTCTGCCTCTACGATCCTTTGCTGCATATCTGCTCGTTTTAATGATTTACATGGTCGTTTTGTCAGTAGCTCAAGTAGGTAGGTTGTTGTACTGAAAAGTCGAATCCAATCAACTGGTCAGAACTTGTTCTCATTGATGTTAGGAAATGAATGGGGAAAAAAGTACTTGGTAGTCGGTGTAGTCGTACAACTCTTGTTTATGCGGATTTGAAAGGCAATGTTGTTTTGAGACGCGTGTAGGGAAGGCCCTTGCCCCTGTTGATGCTGATGCTGATTCTGATTCTGATTCTGATGATGATACCCTGATAGCCTTGTCTTCTTCTTCGGGATGGAAAGTATGGGAAACACAGGGTGCGTGGTGAGGCCCTTAAAGATGCCGGCCCATATGCCGCCGCCCACACGCGTGCGTGGAATGAATGTGCTCGTTACGAGCTATGTTTATGGTGTCTGTGTGTAGATGATGAATCGTGTCCTCGCAAGCATATAGACGAAATGCGTGTGGCTTTGTTTTTGCATTTCACACTTCCTGAGGATGATCGGAGCGCAACCGATCGAAACGCGTTTGGGATTGTGCGCGTAAGCTGAGACGAGTATGCGCGGTTTTGCAATGAAGAGCTTTCGATGCGTGTACGAAAGGCAGTTGGCCACTGTTTGCCACTATTCTCCTTCTTCTTCTTCTTCTTCTTCTTCAATACCCTAGCATGCTTTGCTAAGGCACCAGCGTTCTCAGGGAGCCTTGTTGTGGCTGCCCGAGAACCTGGTACAATGGGTTATAGCACGCGAAAAATTTAGAGGCGGATGCGGCTCTACTTACGGGATAGTATGTCTGGTTTACTGCTCAGTAAGAATTTTTGCGTAGGCAGCTACTACCGTCAAAATAGAAGTTAGCTCGTATTTTCCTTTCCTTCACCAGCGGTAGGATGGAATTATTGTCATTTTGCCCTGGGAATTACGTGGCATTGCCACGGTACCCCGCTGCCAGAAAGGCAGCCCAGGTACTACCGGACTACCCGCACATTTCCAAAAGAGCGGGAAATACGGAATCCGGAGTTTCGAATTAGTACAGGTCACGCACGCTGCGTCGGATTTTGAAAGGACAGGTCATTCGCGGACGCACGTGTAACTGACTGGAGTAGGTGGGGATCCGCGACGCAGGGATTAGCCCAATGAGAAATTAGAACGGAGGAGGGAGTGGACCAATGGGTGCTCGTTGATAAGTGAAAGAAAGCTTGAAGGAGAGACTTGGTCGTTTGGAAGGACTGGTGACAGGGAAAGAGACGTTAGCTTCATGGTACCCCGACACGTGAACATGCGGGGAAAGCTGGCCTGCAGGCTCAGTCGTCGCGCCGGCAATTCAGACACGTAACGGACACTATAGCGTTCGTACGTCTAGGTGGCAGTCCAGCCGTAGCCGTAGTAGCTCGTGGAAGTGCCCGTTAGGGGCGGAAGTACCGTGCGGACGAAGCGTCTCACTTGGCGTTCAGTATATAGGAGGGCAAGGCCTGATCGGCCCTCAGTTCTCAGAAGGAAGGTGTGATCGGTGGGCCGCAAGGCGAGGGTGTGTGGAAAGCCCCCTGAGGATGATCGGAGCGCAACCGATCGAAACGCGTCGGGGAATGTGCGCGTTAGCTGAGATGAGTATGCGCGGAGTTGTAACGAAGAGCGTTTGATGCGTGTACGAAAGGCAGTTGGCCACTGTTTACCACTATTCTTCTTCTTCTTCGCGTATGAGCTCGATGTCCGTGTAGGTGCTTCAATTCTGATCAGGAATGCATGGACGCATAGCGATAGGCCTAGCTGTTTCGATTCAATTCTTCTTCTTCTTCTGTCTTCCTCTCAACGTTGGCATGTCGTAGTTGACTTTCTTTTAGTGGTCAACTCTATCGTCATCTACGCACCTCCGGGTTCATCATCTTCGGATTTGTCCACGTGTGTCACCCACAACCGTGCCCCTTTCTGTATCATCATATCCATCTCTTGGTAATCTTCGTCATAATGGGTGGTCTGTATCATCACGAAACTTGTCCGTCCATCATCCACGTTAGATATCATACCTAAGTAATTGAAGTACTTGGCTTTCTCACGTCACGTCCATTCCCACTGTTCCCTTGCTTTTCCCCATTTCTTTCTGCTTTTCTTGGCCTCCTCTTATCTACCTTTGTTTTTTTCCCTAACTCGTCACTTTGCATATATCTTTTTCTTTACCTACTTTTGACGACCATGCGCTCCTTATCTCAGCCTCCACCTTCAGTCCTTGGGTACGTCCGTTAAGTTTTGGAACGATACAGAGAAGAGTAGCATGGCCGCTGCGCCAGGATGGCACGCACGCATAAATTGAGAAATGGTGGTCCAAATTATGAAAAGAAGCAGAACATGTTATTAGCCTCGTCCGCCCACCTCCTATCTGCTGTGTCCTTGTTCCCCTTGCCTCCTTTTTCCTCCGTCTGTGCTCACCTTCTGCTTGTCCGCAGTACCTTGCCCTTGAACCTCTCCGCTTCTCTCGCCTCCCACCCAGCAGGAGATCATGGTAGAGAAGAGGTGTGGTGTCTGGCATGTTGCTCGGAAAAAGCGGTCCACGGCAAGCATCAGCCGTTCTTGCCCTGGCAGAAACGTCCGGGGCTCTGTATGGGGTTCAGCAGCCTGCCTGTACCATGAGAAGACCCCCCCCACCCACCCACTATGTGTGTAGGTGTGGGCTTTTGTGAGCACTCCATCCATGGGTGTGTGCGGGAAATTAATCCTTGACGTTGTCCTTGCTTCCCCGTCTTTCTGTGCAGATCCTGTCATGATGAACGTGAGACGTCGCCCGCTCGCAGTGCTCAGGGTGATCCGCAGCTAGTATTTAGCTCATACGCATCGGGACTGGGCAGATACCAACCAGGGACGGAGCAGCAGCGTAAGCAGCAGCAGCAGGAGGGTTCGGACGGAAGGATACCGGTGTACGTGCTCTGCTGATGCGTTTTGGGCCTTGGGATAGGAGCGGTGCTGGTAGCAGCTGGGGAGAAGATGGCGGCGTGCGGTGCCGAAAGCCGCAAGGTTTCCAAGTGGGAAACTCTCAGGCTTGAAATTACGCTCAGGAGTCTGACGAAGTTGCACCCCGGGGTGCTGCAGACCGAAATGGAAGCGAGGTTACGCGTGGCATTGAGCGATCCTGCCATGCCTCTGACTTCCGCTCTTGCGCAGGTGTGCGACGAGGTGCGGGCGGAGGCCGGCGCATTGCGCCAGACAGCGGCGGCTGGTGCCGATGCACCGCGACCGACGGGATCTCAGAAGGAATCCCAGAGGACGGCGGTGACGGCGGAGAGGGTTCCACGTCGGCTGCACGATGCGGAGGGAGCGAGCAGCAGCAACCAAGAGCAGTTGAGGAATGGGGACGGAGCGAGCAGCAGCAACCAAGAACAGCAGTTGAGGAACGACGACTTGGTGGGGGACCACGCAGACTCTGAGGTTGTGGAGGACCCCAGCTCGGAAATGCGCGCGTATTATCAATGGTGCGAGTATTTTCTGTCCATGGAGTTCCCGAAGATATGCCTGACGGATTTGCGGCAGTGTTTGATGGCCAACGGGTGGAGAATCGGTCCTGTGTACACCTCTGTGCTGGCAGAGGTCTCGCCAACGGGTACGTTAGGCAAAGAGGAGGCCGCGGAGGTAGCGGATCGCCGACGGTGGGTTCCAGAGGGCGGGCTGCACTTGCTGAAATGTGGGCGGAAGGGATATCGGAAGGGGGCGCCTAGAATGCGGTGCAATAAGTTTGTCAGAGACTGTGAGCGCATGCTGCTGGACTCGATCGCGCGGCGGAATGCTGCGGAGACGGGGGAACAACTGCGACGGGATGCTGAGTTGGCGATGACGTTGAGCAGGCTGGAGGAAGTGGAAGCAGCCAGGCGCAAGGAGGAAGATTGCACGGACATCGATTGCGGATGCTGCTATGCGTCGTACCCGATAGAGCAGCTGGTGCAGTGCGCGGACGGTCATCTTTTCTGTCACGACTGCCTACAGAGACGAGTCAAGGAGTTGACCTTCGGCGGGAGCAACCTCCACCCCGAGGGCCAAATCCCATGCATGGACACGGGTGGCTGCTCTCACCTTTTCCCATGGGCCGAGGTGCGCCGTGCCGTGCCTGCGGACATTTTCGCCAAGTACGAGCAGCGCCTGGGGGAGCATTCCGTCCTCAAGGCGCTGGCAGAGGGCCTTTTCCGCTGTCCGTCCTGCGATTTCCCCGTGGAACTGGACAAGGGTGTCCAGGAGCTCAAGTGCCCCAACTGCCATAAGTGGTCTTGCGCGCTCTGCAAGCAGCCGGCCCATTTCCCTTTGCTCTGCGTTAAAGTGGAGAAGAAGGAGGCGACGGATTTCCGCTTGACCGTCGAGGAGAAGATGACCCTGGCGGTTCTGCGAGCCTGCACCGCCTGCAAAGCGGAGCTGCTGAAGACGGAAGGCTGCAACAAGATCACGTGCAGGTGCGGGCACAAAATGTGTTACGTGTGCAGGGCCAGCATCAAAGACTATAGTCACTTCTGCCCCCATGCGCGGGATCCGGGCCAGAAGTGCAATCAATGTACTCGCTGCAGCCTGTGGGAGCAAGAAGACGTGGATTCGGTCGCTGCAGCTGCCAGAAACCAAGCTCTGAGGGAAGCTAGCCACTCAGACCCCGATCTTGTGAAGCGTCCAATTGGATGGTCAGCACAGGATTTAGCACAAGCACCACTTAGCGCCAAAAGACGGCGGCGTTAGGATCAAGACAATAAAATACCAATGACATGAACGGTGCCGAGAGAATGATGGGAAGAACGCCGCAGCTCACGTTGGTGGGTGGGTGATATTATTCCGTGGCTGGTTATTATTTATAAGGGGGAGGGGGGGAAGGAGAAGTCAGCCTTTTGGTCTAGCCGCCGTTCATTGTTGAGGCTGCCCGCGCACCACCTTCAGAAGCAGCGATGAGTCAGCGGGCTCTCGCTCTCTCTCTTCTTCTTCTTCTTCTTCTTCTTGGGCGAGATCTTTCCAATGCGTCTTCCCTCTTTTTCGGTGGGAGTTGAGACACCTTCGCTCGCGATTTGTGCCTTTTGAGGTCCTCTCAACACCGAGGCCCAGATCCCACTGGCAAAGAGGATTGGAAGAAGTGTCTGAATCTGGACGCGTTCCACGCAGAGGTGCAGAAAAGTAGATCAATCGCAATTTTTCGCACCTGTCCACAAACACGTCCACATTCTGACACTTACTACAATCCTCTTTGCCAGTGGGATCTGCCAGTTGCACATGCTTCCTGCTCCTGTCGCCGGGTTTGACGCCTTTGACGAACGCTGTCGTGGTCGGCAAACGTTATCTCTTGGCTAACGTTTCTTTTCTTTTCTGCATTGCAATTGTCATTGCAGCACTGTATTTTTTTCCATCAAGATTCTTTGTTGCCGCCATCTCTCAAGAAAACCCCGCGTTTTATACTGTATTTCAACGATCATTGGACTCAATTTGACAACTACTCGGATTCCGTTTGTGCGTTTTTTTTTTTTTTTTTAATTTTTTTTTTTACTTGTAGGCCGCTCGTTTTTTCCCTCCCTTTCTGTAGGCCGTACTTTGGGATTCTTTCACTCGCATCTCGAAGACACTGGGCCTCGCCGCACCACTCACCAAGTATGCAAATTGGAGAATGCATCTTCCGCTATAACGTGGAAGGATACGGCCGCCATAGTTTTTTGTCTTTTCTGAATTTGACGAGTGCTGTCGCGAGGCCCACTGCCACACATCATACACTCAATTACCAATTACTGGACTTCTATCCCAGCTTGGTGATGTCGAGGACATTGTCGAGTACATTGTCGAGGACATCACACCAAGGCCACCTGCGGGAATTGGGATCTTTGTCTTCCGGCGTCCCATCCATCCTTAAGGGACTTCTTACGTTCCTTTTCTGTAATTGTCCTCGTACGGAGAACCACGCACGCAGGTGAGCACTTCATATTGAACCTAATAATGTGTGGTAGAGGAGGAGATGGTGGAAAGGAGAAGGGGGGGGGTGGTGGGAATGAGGTAGGGAGGAAGGGAGGGTCCCCTGGAACATTACGTTGGAACATTGCCGGCCATCAGGTGGTCGGTTCTGTGTGAGCGCTACGGTGAAGAGGATTACTTGCGCTGGTTTGTTGTGGCTGACACACTTGATGAAGTGCAAGTAGAATTTTCTGTGTCGACAATTGACTCTTCCAGGTGGCTGACTTGTGATTTTGACAGGCTTTTCATGTCATGTGTTCACTCCTTTTCAATTACATTCGTTTCACTTTATAGTCCAGGAGGCCTGTGGTACATCTCTGAGGATGTCACACTTGAAAGGGAGCCATGTATTTTTGCAATTGACAGTTTCAGAAACCGTTGTAGCTTTTCAGAGTCCGTGTTCCTTCAGACGTCTTGTCGGAAGATAGCGAGGTGGTGGTGGTGGTGGTGAGGCTGACGACGTTGTCCATAATTTGTGGGTGCGTGGCGGCAGCTGGGATGAAGAGTGGAAGGTACGTTTGTTTGTTTTTTTTCTTTTTTTCCCCCTGGCAGGCCTCGTTTTTGTGGTCGGTGGGGGGGGCAAGGATGGGTGAGAAATTGTAAAAAGGCTAGAGAGGTCCGTGTGCCGAAGCAGGTAGGTTTGGGAATAAGGTGAGAGAGAGGTGGATCTGTTGCCCCTTCGGGACATTTTAAATGGTCCTTTGGGAAGATTCTTTCTGTTTTCGGGTTGGTTCAAACGTTATTCACTTGATTTCCGCGTGGTGGAGGCTTATTGGCATTCTTCTGAGTCCTTCTGTTGTCCTGCCTTCGTTGACCAGCGATGCAGTTTTTTTTCTGCTCTCTCTCTCTCTCTCTCTCTCTCTCTCTCTCTCTCTCTCTCTCTCTCTCTCGTTTTATCTTTTTTCTGTTTTGGTCTGTTTGCAGTGCGTTGTATGTATAACTCGGTTCCTCCCTTTGCTTGCTCCTCACAGAACTGATTGGTCGTGAAGGCGTGTCTCTGACAGTGCTCCTACTGCAACTGGAGTGAGAGGAATTGATGGACTGCTGGGGGGCGCTTGCTAAAATTTGCCCGCTTGCTGGTTGGCTGCGAGGGTTTCTGTCTGTATCAAAACCTCGCAGGCGAATGAATAGACTCATTCTGGCTGCGAGGGTTTCTGTCTGTATCAAATTTGTGGCTTAGAACATGTGAAATCACGTAAAAGCTACAATAGAAGCCTCAGATATGACGATAATTTGGGAAAATGAAAGCGGTTTGTCTTTCGAAGGCGAATGAATACACTCATTCTGATGCGCTTTATCTACTGCGGCAGACTCTGCAGGGGGTTGGCCTCTTCTACCACGCCTTCACCTGGTATTCTTCTCCCTGCCTGTGTTTGCTCCCCATAGCCAGAAAGGGTTTCTCTTTGCTGCCTGCCTGCCTGCCTGCCTGCTTTGGGTTCTCTTGCGTCTCTTGAAGATTGTACTTTTGTGAATCAAGAACAGTAGAGTCAAGAGCCACTGAAAAAAGAACCCTCTTCTACAGTCACTCTGAAAAGCAAGCTGGAAGCCACCTGGGGCCAAGGTTTTAGACAGTGATGGGGATGTGCCATGCCGTCAAAAGGGCTCCAGGAAGATGGGGAAGATGGAGGGGGGGGGGGAGCGAGGTATATAATTATTGCTTGCTCGGCCACCAATTGAGTGCCAATCATGGCAAGCTTAGAACTCCGTTATCGGTATGTAATGTGAAGGCGTCCTGCAGCGCAGTAGAGAGTGATGGTGGCAACTAGACTGGCTTAATGTGCTGAGAGGGTCCAAGAAGATGCTTGTCATGGGGTTTGTGTGTGGGATGACGAGTGCGTGCTGGGACTCAATGGTGTGAGAACAAGGAAAGGAAGGAAAATCGTCCTGACTGTGTTTGATTGTGATCGGGATTTCCTCTGCAGGCAAGACTTGAGAAGTGTCCCAATTTTGCTTTCGTCCGACCGTCAGATCAGACGGGTCGACGAGTTGAAGTCTGGTCAGCTCTGGCTGGTGGGTAGAATGGTTATCAGCTATTGGTGTTAGTCTGGTCAGCCCGTGGTTGGGGACCACACTGTTCTTTATTTCTCTGGAACCCTATGGCCGTTCTTTTTGTTGATGTCACGGTCTTGTGCTTTGATGAAATGGGTGGTCGCTAGGGCTCAGGGGCAATATTGCAATTGAACTTTTGTCTCTTTGCGTGGAGTGTGGCAAGTAACCGGGTTGCCCCTGTTAGAATAAGAGAAATGGGTTTCTGATTTTCTTTTGGTTTTGGTTTGTTGTTTTTCTTTTTCACATGCATCTGGAGGAGAATCATGGCATGCCTTCTTGTGAGTAGCGACTTTTTTTTCCCTTTGTGGAACATGACTTTTGACTGTGGGTTGTGACTCTTGCCTCTGGGACACGGCTTTTGCCTGGGGGGAAGTGTCCTTTGACTGTGGAATTTGACACTTTTCAATATGTATGACTGTTTGATATGAGACGCGTCTTTTGCTTGTAGAAGGCAACTTTTGCCTCTGGAATGTGACTGCTTACCTGGTGCCTGTTGGACTTGACTCCGAAGGTACCCACCCACCCGACTGTGACTTTTCTGAAAGCGACTTTTGCATAGTATTAGTCTCAGGACGTGACCCTTGAGCTGGTCTGCGCCAGATGTGACATTTGGGATATTGGACGGTAACTTCCAGATCCTGGCCGACTGGGCCTCTACCCATTTGGAAATTGAGACCCTGAAATTCGAATTGGGGGTCTGAATTGTGGAAGGCCTTTCAGTCTTATCTTCGAGTTCGGTGATATCTCACTGAAGGGGTGTCTATGGGGTATAAGCGGGGGGTTCAAAAGGGCTCGAAGGGGCTTAAAGGGGGGTAAAGGGGTATGATCTAGGCTACCAGAGTGGCCCGGGGTCACTTGCCCGGCCGGGCCAAAAACATTAAAAAAAATAAAAGTAATAAAAAATATTTTTATTTTATTTTATTTTTATTCTGAATTTGGTGAAGAATTTCTTTTTTTTCCCTTTCTATATTCTTCTCTCAACTTCTGTTTCTTTTGACCTTCCACTACCTACTCCTAAAGACTATCTAGAGGGGACCCCTGCAAGCATAGTTTCCTCTCTCTGTGAAGGGGAGATTTCATGTTGCCCCTTGCCCCTAATGGTTAGGGTATAGGGTTGGGGCCGCCAGTGGGGGTCTGGCTAACACAAAGACCGAGACCTTCCAGTAGCTGTGCCTCCCTTTCTCATCGTCCCCCACCCTTCATCAAGTAGCAGCAGCAGAGGCTATGGCCAACACTCTCCCACACACCACACACAACCCACTCGTGCTCACACTCACACCCGTGTTGGCCATAGACCCTGCTAATACCGATCAGGGGTATCCAGAGGACTATCACAGTCCGTTGGCACTAAGTGCGCCGCAGGCGGCCATGGGGCTTGAACCCCCAACCTCCTGAATGCCACTTGCATGCCTAACCAACTGAGCTAGGCCGCTGGATGATTTGGTGAAGAATTTCGATGTGACCCTGAGGCAAAAGTTGTTCAGTTTATTTTGCTGCATAACATAGTTTTTTTTTTTTTTTTTTTTTGCTGGGACCTTCCCTGGTCCTTGCACGGGCTGGCTACCCGGGACCCGGGCGGCCCGGCTGGTAGCCTAGGGTATGATATAGTTTAATATTTTATTTTTATTTTTATTTTCAGATTCCATAGCGAATTGTGTGGTCACCCTCAGGCAAATGATGTTTGGTTTGCAACTCTGCATGACATTCTTTTTTTCCTTGTTTTTTTTTTTCT